GGAGTTTCCACTGTCACCTTCAGGTGGAAACTCAGGAAAGTACTATACTTATAAGTATACTTGTACACTTACATTGATTTTTCTTTTGTTGAATTTTCCTTGCATTCCTGGGATCAATCCCACTTTGTCATGGTGTATAATCCTTTTAATATGCTGTTATATTTAGTGTTAATGTCGTATGATTCAAAATGCAAAAGCCTTTCGTCTGTCCCTTTCCTTAAAGATAGCAGGTGTTATAAGGCTCTCAGCTGACTTCTCACAAGAAACACTACAGGCCAGAAGGGAATGGCATGAGGTAATCAAGGTCATGAAAAACAAGAATCTGAATCCAAGACTACTCTACCCAGCAAGGCTATCATTCAAAATAGAAGATCAAATAAAGAGCTTCCCAGACAAAAAAAAGCTAAGGGAATACATTAGCACCAAACCAGCACTGCAAGAAATGTTAAAAGGACTGCTGTAATTAGCAGTAGAAATGGGAAGAAAAGTAGAACCACACTAAACAAAAATGGCAATAAATAAGTACATATCAATAATCACCTTAAACGTAAATGGATTGAATGCTCCCATAAAGAGACACAGAGTAGCTGATTGGATAAGAAAGCATGACTCATCTATATGTTGTTTACAAGAGACCCACATCACAACAAAAGACTCACATCGGTTGAAAGTGAAGGGATGGAAAAAAATTTTCCAAGCAAATGGAAAGCAAAAAAAAGCTGGGGTAGCAATTCTCATATCTGATAAAATAGATTTCAAAATGAAGACCATAACTAGAGACAAAGACGGCCACTACATAATATTGAAAGGATCTATCCAACAGGAAGATATCACCTTGATAAACATATATGCACCCAATATAGGAGCACCAAAATATATTAAAAATCTTCTGGAGGACTTCCAAGGAGAAATCGACAACAATACAATCATAGCAGGGGACTTCAACACCCCGTTGACAGCACTGGATAGATCCTCTAGGCAAAAAATTAGCAAGGAAACAGAGACTCTAAATGAAGCACTAGACCAAATGGATTTAATAGACATCTACAGAGAATTACACCCCAAAACTACAGAATACACATTCTTCTCAAGTGCACATGGGACATTCTCAAAGATAGACCACATGATAGGACACAAACTAAATCTCTACAAGTTCAAGAAGATTGAAATCATATCAAGCATCTTCTCAGATCACAATGGCATGAAACTAGAAATCAATTGCAACAAGAACATGCAAAGACATTTCAACACATGGAGGCTAAATAGCATGTTATTAAACAATGAATGGGTCACCGAGGAGATCAAGGAAGAAATTAAAAACTTCCTGGAAACCAATGAAAATGAACACACAACAACACAAAATCTATGGGATGCAGCGAAAGCAGTTCTGAGAGGGAAGTTCATAGCACTACAGGCCTACCTCAAAAAACAAGAAAAATTTCTAATTGACTGTCTAACCTCACAACTTAAAGAATTAGAAAGCAAACAAAAAGAAAACCCCAGAGCAAGTAGAAGGAAGGAAATAGTAAAGATCAGAGCAGAAATAAATGACATAGAGACCAAAAAAACAATTCAAAGGATCAATGAAACAAAGAGCTGGTTTTTCGAAAAGATAAACAAGATAGATGGACCCTTAGCTAGACTCACCAAGAAACAAAGAGAGAGAACCCAAATACACAAAATCAGAAATGAAAGAGGAGAAGTAACAACCAACACCACGGAAATACAAAAGATCGTTAACAACTACTATGAACAACTATATGGCAACAAATTCGACAATCTCAGCGAAATGGACAAATTTCTAGAAACACACAGTCTCCCAAAACTATTCCCGGAAGAGATAGAAAACTTGAACAGACCAATAACAACTAAGGAAATTGAAGAGGTAATCAAGACTCTCCCAGCAAACAAAAGCCCAGGCCCAGATGGTTTCACGGGGGAGTTTTACCGAACATTCAAAAAAGAACTAACACCCATTCTCCTCAAACTATTTCAAAAAATTCAAGAAGAAGGAAGACTTCCAAACACGTTCTATGAGGCCAGCATAATTCTAATTCCAAAACCAGAAAAAGACACTACGAAGAAAGAAAACTACAGGCCAATATCCCTGATGAACATAGACGCCAAAATCCTGAACAAAATACTAGCAAATCGGATCCAGAAATACATCAAAAAAATTATTCACCATGACCAAGTGGGATTCATTCCAGGGATGCAAGGCTGGTACAATATTCGAAAATCAATAAACGTGATACACCACATAAACAAAATGAAGAATAAAAACCACATGATCATATCAATAGATGCTGCAAAAGCATTCGACAAAATCCAGCATCCATTTCTGATAAAAACGCTCAGCAATGTAGGAATAGAGGGATCATATCTCAACATAATGAAGGCCATATATGAAAGACCTACAGCCAACATCATACTCAATGGACAGAAACTAAAAACATTTCCATTAAGAACAGGAACAAGACAGGGATGTCCACTTTCGCCACTCTTATTTAACATTGTACTGGAAGTCTTAGCCACAGCAATCAGACATGAAGAAAAAATAAAAGGGATCCAAATTGGAAAGGAGGAAGTGAAACTGTCATTATTTGCAGATGACATGATATTGTACATAGAAAACCCTAAAGACTCCATCAAAAATCTATTAGACTTAATAAATGAATTTGGCAAAGTAGCAGGATACAAAATTAACGTCAAGAAATCGACGGCATTCTTGTACATCAATGATGAACTCACAGAAAGAGAAACTGAAAAAACAATCCCATTTACCATCGCTCCAAAAAAATTACGATACCTAGGAATAAACTTAACCAAAGAAGTAAAGGATCTATTTGCAGAAAACTACAGGTCATTGAAAAAAGAAATAGAGGAAGATATAAAAAAGTGGAAGCACATACCCTGTTCATGGATTGGAAGAATTAACATAATTAAAATGTCCATACTACCCAAAGCAATCTATAGATTCAATGCAATCCCCATCAAAATACCAACGACATATTTCATAGAACTAGAACAAATACTTCAAAAGTTCATATGGAACCAAAAAAGACCCCGAATAGCCACAGCAATCTTGAAAAAGAAGAACAAAGTAGGTGGGATCACAATACCAGATATCAGGTTATACTACAAAGCGACTGTAACCAAAACAGCCTGGTACTGGCACAAGAACAGGCATATAGACCAGTGGAACAGAACTGAAAACCCAGAAATGGACCCAAGGCAATACGCTCAATTAATATTTGACAAAGGTGGCAAGAGCATACAGTGGAGTAAAGACAGCCTCTTCAATAAATGGTGTTGGGAAAATTGGACAGCTACATGCAAAAAAATGAAACTAGACCATCAACTTACACCATACACCAAAATAAACTCAAAATGGATAAAAGACTTAAATGTGACCCGTGAATCCATAAAAATTCTAGAAGAAAATGTAGGCAACAAAATTTCGGACATCATACGGAGCAGAATTTTCACTGATACATCACCTAAGGTAACAGAAATAAAGGAGAAAATGAACACATGGGACTACATCAAACTAAAAAGCTTCTGCACAGCAAAAGAAACAATCATCAAAATGGAAAGACAACCCACTGTATGGGAGAACATCATGGCCAATGATGTATCCGATAAGGGGTTAATTTCCAATATATATAGAGTGCTCATACAACTCCACAAAAGGAAGACAAAGAACCCAATTAAAAAATGGGCAGAGGAGCTGAATAGACACCTCTCCAAACAGGACATACAAATGGCCAAGAGACATATGAAGAAATGCTCAACATCACTAATCATCAGAGAGATGCAAATTAAAACAACAATGAGATATCACCTCACACCTGTCAGAATGGCCGCCATCAACAAATCATCAAACAACAAGTGTTGGCGAGGGTGTGGAGAAAAGGGGACTCTAGTACACTGCTGGTGGGAATGCAGACTGGTGCAGCCGCTATGGAAAACAATATGGTGCTACCTCAAAAAATTAAAAATTGAACTTCCATTTGACCCAGTGATCCCACTGCTGGGAATATACCCTAAGAAGCCTGAAACACCAATCAGGAAGAATATATGTACCCCCATGTTCATAGCAGCACTATTTACAATAGCTAAGATCTGGAAACAGCCCAAGTATCCACCAGTAGACGAATGGATAAAAAAGTTGTGGTACATATACACCATGGAGTACTATGCAGCGGTAAGAAAGAAAGATCTCTTATCCTTTGAGACGACATGGAGGGACCTGGAAAGTATTATCCTAAGTGAAAGAAGCCAAGCAGAAAAAGACAAATACCACATGATCTCACTTATATACGGAATATAATGAACATAACAGTCTGAGGAATACAGTAGACCCAGACACATGGAAGTAGGGCACAGACTGACATCCCTCAGAAGAGGGGATGGGGGGTGGGGGGGTGGGAAGAGATAAACCACAGAACTTATATGCATGTATGCATGACCAATGGACATGGACAACTAAGCCGGGGACAGGGTGGAGGGGGGTGGGGTGGGGGGTGCCAATGGGGTAAAAAGGTAAAATATCTGTAACAAAAAAATAAATAAAAATTCATTAAAAAAAAAAAAAAAAAGATAGCAGGTGTTGCCTTGGCCGGTTTTGCTCAATGGTTAGAGCATCGGCCTGTGGACCAGAAAGTCCTGGGTTTGGTTCCTGCTAAGGGCACGTACCTGGGTTGCAGGTACCTGGGGACGCCCGGCCTCGGTTGCAGTTGTATGGGTGACAACCACTCAATGTGTCTCTCTCACGTCAACATTTCTCTTTCTCTCTTCCTCCCTCTCTCCCTCCTACTCTATCTGAAGATAAATGCAAAAATGTCCTCAGGTGAGGATAAAAAAAAAAAAAAAGATAGCAGGTGTTTTAGTGTATCTTTCTTGTACATAGTTTGTATATATACAGGTAAAATGCTTATTGGATCGGTCAGCCTCCAGTCATAAGCCCCTGCCGATCTCTCTGTCCCCTGCTATTTCAGCTGAAAGGCTTGTCCTGCCAGAAGTGCTCTGAAGAAGTCAAACAGATGCTGCACATCCTCAATCTGGAGGACAAGCGGGACTCCCGGTGCAAGTTCCTGAGCGGGGGGATGAAGCGCAAGCTGTCCATCGGCATCGCCCTCATAGCGGGCTCCAAGGTCAGGGCCCCTCGCATCCTATGGACCAACACTTGAGGCAGTAAGGTCCAGTTTCTGGAAGGATACAGGTCAGGGCCCCCACATGCAGTAGACAAACACTTGGGGCATTGGGCCCAGAGGCAACGCTGTCTAGCTCCAATTTGTCCTTTGCTGGCTGCTGGCTACATCTTGTCCCTTGACACCCAGGATGGGCAGTCTGGTAAGGGCAATACTGCTGCATCTTCATAGAACTCAAGCTACATGGGGCCAACAGTATAGCTAGCCCAAGCCTGTTCACAGGCTGTTCCTCTGCCCTCCAGGTGCTGATGCTGGATGAACCCACTTCAGGTGTGGATGCCGTCTCCAGAAGGGCCATCTGGGACCTTCTTCAACAGCAGAAAAGTGGCCGCACTATCCTGCTGACCACCCATTTTATGGATGAGGCTGACCTGCTTGGGGACCGCATTGCCATCATGGCCAAGGGGGAGCTGCAGTGCTGCGGGTCTCCACTGTTCCTCAAACAGAAATATGGTGAGTGGCCAAGGGTGGGAAGTGGGGTGGGCACCCCAATCTCCATTCCATATGGGGTCAGTGTCACTGACCCAGTGTGCTGAAGAAAGTGCCTACTGTTAACTTTCACAAAGGACCCCTGAGATCAGGCAGGGAGAAGCCTTTCCTGGACTTTCTGTCTGCTACCTCTGGATGGAGACCCGAGGTCCCATGCAGAAGAGATTGTGAGAACGAGGAAAGAAAGAAGTGAAAAAAATCTCTGAGACTTGAAATCAGAATACCTGTGTTCTGTCAGTTCACTGCCTCTTCATTCAGACGGCCAAGTTAGTTTATATATTTTTAGGCTTCATTTTCTAATCTACAAAATGGGGATTAAATTACCATGTTCCTCAAAGAGTGAGATCCTGTATGCAGAAGTGCTATGCAAGTGCGACTTATTTCCACAGCTAATTAGTCTCACTTCAAATACCCTCCTCTTGTCTTTCCATGCCCTCTCGGTTCCCCTCCCATGTCTGGCTGCTCCTTTGCATCACTCCTACCTCCAAAAATGGAAGTGCCTTGGTCACTTCACTTTTCTTTCTCTGCCCACTGACTTAGTGATCTCACCCAGTCTTCTGGCTTTTAAATACCTTTTCTGTGCTGAAAAATGTGTGTGAATCGTGAACCTCTCTTCTGAATCTAGACTCATATATCTCACTGCCTGGTCTACATCTCCACGTAGACATTGAATAGATCTGTCAGACTGTCCCAAAGCCTGTGCAGAGCTGAGCTCCAGCAATCTCCCACTAAACCCACTCCCTTGCAGTAAAGGCAGCTCCATTCTTCTCGGAGCTTGGCCAAAACCTTGGAGGCTCCCTGACCCTTCTGTCCCTCACAGCCCATATCTGATCAATCTGCAAACCCAGGTGGTCTTACTTTCCTCCCACCTCTACCATTGCTAGCACCCTGGTCCTGGCCACCATTCTCCATCTGGATTATTCCAGTTACCTCCTAACCCACCCTCGGCCTCTGCCCAGTTGTCAGAATGAACATCTCACTATTCTTCTTACCCCTCCAATAACTTTCCCTCTCACTGAGAGTAAAAGCCAGAGTCCTTGCAGTGGCCCCGTGGGCCTTGCTTGGCCTAGTCCTATTACCCTGAGCACATTTTCTAATGCTCTTCCACTTTCTTGTTGTACTCCTGCTACACCGGCCCCTCGCTGATCTAGCAAGCCATGCCTGCTCCTTCCTACAGGCCCATTGCCATGCTTTCTGCTCTTCCTCAGGTCACCAACTGGCAGTCCTTATGTAGATGTCATATTCTCAGTGAGAACTTCCCTGGTGACCCTGTTTAAAAATCACACTCCCCAATATTCCAAATCCCCTCCCTTGTTAATTTTTATTTTTCTCCTTAGCACTCATCACTAATATTCTATAAATTTACTTATTTATCTTATTATCTGTCTCACACCTCTCAAATAAAAACCCCACGAGAATAGGGATTTTTTACTATTTTATCCACTGCTATATCCTTAGTACCTAGAACAGTACCTGTTACATTATAGGACAGTGTTTCTCAACCTTCCTAATGCCCTGACCCTTTAATACAGTTCCTCATGTTGTGGTGACCCTCAACCATAAAATTATTTTTGTTGCTACTTTGAAACTGTAATTTTGCTACTGTTATGAATCGCCATTGGAAATATGTGTTTTCCGATGGTCTTAGGTGACCCCTGTGAAAGGGTCATTCGACCCCCAGGTTGAGAACCGCTGTTATAGGGGCTCAAGAAATGTTTGTTGAATGACTGCATTGCCAGCATAACAGTAACAAGTGTTATTAATTTCTGAAATAATGTTGAGAATGTCATAAGGTACATAGCCTCAAAAAATGTGTTTTAATTATTATAGAGTTATCTTTATTCTTTACCTTAATGTTAAGGCCTCTGCCTATTAAGTTTTTACCTCCCCAAGTTAGTTATCACATAAAGAGGGTTGCCCATAATGCAACCCTCCTTTATTTTGCGTAGCATTGCTAAATTCACCATTGTTACATTCCGATTATGAAATAGAAGGCAAGAGTCTCTAGAGTAACATTACAGACCTTCAGAAGTGAGTTCAGTAGGTTTTAAATTTGGCCCCACAAGGCTCTCCAGGTTCTCTTTCCCACAAAGCTATTCCATTCTCAGCTACAGAAAACTAAATATGGCCATAAAGAGTTTTAAAACTGTTGCCCTGGCCGGTTTGGCTCAGCGGTTGAAGCGTCAGCCCGCGAACCAGAGAGACCCAGGTTCAGTTCCCGCTAAGGTCACATACATCGATTGCAGTTTGTCCCCAGCCCCGGTTAAGGTCGTGTGGGTGGCAACCAGTCGATGTGTCTCTCTCACATCGATGTTTCTCTCTCTCTCTTCCTCCCTCTCTCCATCTCGCTCTATCTGAAGATAAATGCAAAAATGTCCTCGGGTGAGGATCAAACAAACAAACAAACAAACAAGAGTAAAACTGTTTCATGGTCTTTTCAATATTGTTTCAGGTGCTGGATACTATATGACTTTAGTGAAAAAACCTGATTGTAAAACAGACGCGATTTTGCACCTGATTTATCATCACATACCAAATGCAATTTTCCAGTCCAACACTGGAGGAGAATTAACATTTATACTTCCTAAAGAGAATGTGCACAGGTATGGACCCTAAAGGGCTGGAGTAACTGCATGTACTGAGTGTTCAGAGTCATCTCTCCTATCCTTCTCAGCAAAGGGCACTCTATTCTGTAATGATCTGGACCCCTAGGCTTTTGGTATCTCCTGGAAAGACACCACATCTCTGCCAGAGTGCACTTGAACATATGGGATTCTGATCATGGCACCTTTAGAAACCTTTAATGGTTCTCAATTGAGTTCAGGTTAAAGTCAGATTATTTAATATGGCTTTACAGGGGCCCTTGATTGTGTGAACACTAATTACCTGCACCCAAGTGGCTGCTTTCAGATGAAGGAAGATTTTCCTTTAAGTTAATTATTTCAGGCCTCAAATTGGCTCACAACAGTTCTCTCTCCTTGTCTCAGTCTCCATAAAGCAAGATAGGAACCTTAACTTATACTTCACTGAGAAAATTAAAACTATCAAACAAGAACTCTATTTTATCCCTATCACAAACCTACAAACTTGGTTGCTCCCATGCACGTTTATTTCTTTCTTCCATCTTTTTACAACTGAGAACATGTTACTCTTCCTGTCAAAGTCTTATCCTTCAACACCAGCTCAAGATCCCATCCACTTCACTGTCTCAAGAATTCACTTGTATGATTATCCCTTTTCTCATCTATATCATCAGTTTCTCTCTCTACTGGATCATTTCCATAAACATACTAGTATACTCTGGATAATCACTTCTTGAGTCTGCCTCTCTTTCTAGCTACCACTTCGTGTCCCCACTACACTTCACAGCCAAACTTCACTGAAGAGCAGCCTAAGTGTGTCACCTCTTTTTCTAAGTGTGTCACATTTCTCAGTCTACTTCACAGTGACTTTAACTCATACTCTCCTATCCAAACTCTTTAAGATCATCATCAGCTTCCATCATACCAAATGCAGTAAGAAGTTTTCTTTTTTTTTATTTTAATTTTCTTTATTGATTTTACAGAGAAAGAAGGAAGAGGGAGAGAGATAGAAACATCAATGAGAGAGAACATCAATTAGCAGCTTTCTGCATGCCCCCCACTGGGGATTTGGCTCATAACCTGAGCACGTGTCCTGACTGGGAATCGAACTGGCAACCTCTTGGTGCATGGGTCAATGCAACCACTGAGCCACACCAGCCAGACTTTCTATCTTTAAAAAAAGATTATTGGGTACTAGTTTATACCTATAAATAAATATACATTACATATTTATAGGTTATGAAATATAATATATAATAATAAAATGAACACTGGTGAACCCTTTAATCAACCCAAGAACTAAAACACAGAAATTACTTTCTACCCTGATCTTATTCAACTCTGCAACATCAACTACATAGTTATCCATTTCTTTATTTTGCAGACATTCTTCTTTTAGCTCCCTTGTGAAATTTTACTCCTTACTGGTTATCTTCTAGCTCTCTGGCTACTCCCAAGTAGAAGTGGGAAGAACTGGGAGACAAACAGAGTTGGGAGGGGTGGTTATGAAAAGGTCAGTTTTGAATCTTTACATTTGAAAGGCTCATGAAAGCTCAGGCCGGTTTGGCTCAGCAGTTAGAGTGACGGCCCTCGAACCAAAGAGTCACAGGTTCGATTCCCAATCGAGGGCATGTACCTGGGTTGCAGGTTTGATCCCTGGCCCTATTCAGGGTTGTGTGGGAGGCAATCAATTGATGGGTCTCTCTTACATCGATGTTTCTTTCTCTTTCTTTTTCTCTTTCTCTCTCTCTCTTTCTCTTTCCCTCCCTCCCTTCTTCCCTTCCTTCCTCTCTATCTAAAAAAATCAGTGGAAAAATATCCTTGGGTGAGGATTAACAACAAAAGAAAGGCTTTTGAGAGACCCCAGTGGAGACATCAGGAGGGCAGTTGGATATATATGAAGCTAGAGCTCAAGGTGTAACCTGGAAGTGTGCTCAGCAGTCATCAGCCTGGAGATGTTTAAAATCATAAAACGGGAAAAGGTCATGTAGGAAGAAAATATAAAGAAAAAAGAAAAAAATAGGGCTTACGACCAATTCCTGAAGCACTCCTAAATTTGCGGGTTCCACTGAGGAGAGGGATCCTGCAAAGAATTCTCATGAAGATGAATGGAGAATAAGCATAAATACCTAAAATTAGAATTGAGAATTGGAGGAAAAAAACAAGACACAAAGAACTAGAAGTCAATGTTTTGCACAATTTTAAGTAAATATATTAGAAAACTTGAATAAAATGGATAATTATCTAGAAAAGTCATTTTATTAAAATCAATACAGGAAGTACTAGAGGTTTTTATAAATGTCTTAATTTTCACCAAATATTTAAGGAAAAGATCGTTTGGATCATAATTGAATTCTTCCAGACAATAGAAAACATAAAAAAAAAAAATAAATTCTTCACTCCTTTTTACTAATTCAGCTTAACTTAACAGTTTATTAAAAGACTAATATACCGCCCCAGCTGGTGTGGCTCAGTTGGTTGGCGTCATCCTGTGCACTGAAGGGTTGCCAGTTCAATCCCTGGTCAGGGCACATTTCTGGGTTGCGGACTCAATCCCCAGTCAGGGGTGTGCAGGAGGCAGCCAATCAATGTTTTGCTCTCACATCAATGTTTCTCTTTCTCTCCCTTCCTCTCTCTCTCAAAATCAATTTTATAAAATCTTTTAAAAAAAAAAGAATATATCCTCTTGAAAGGGCTGCTATTTACCCTCATAGTATGTCAAAAGGAAATCATCCACATAAATGAGAACAATATATTTGCTAAACTATATCTATTGGTACTTATTGAAGTTATAATAATAATACTCAATGGATACTTTCCCAGCATGATTACAAATACCTCAAGCCAAAATAAATTTCAGATAACAAATTTTTTTATGTTAAAAATTAAATTACAGCCTTGGCTGGTTTGGCTCAGCGGTTAGTGTTTCAGCCTGCAGACTGAAAGGTCATGGGTTCAATTCCCAAGGACATGTAACCTGGGTAGCAGGCTCAATCCTTGGCCTTGGTCAAGGTTGTTCAGGAGGCAACCAATTGATGTGTCTCTCTCACATTGATGTTTTTCTCTCACTCTCTCCCCCTCCTGCCCTCCCACCCTCCCTTCCACTTTCTCTAAAAATTAATGGAAAAATATCCTCAGGGGAGGATTATCAAAAACAAACATTTTTAAAAAATTTAAATTATATTGCCCTGGCTTGTTTTGCTCAATGGTTAGAGCATTGGCCCACAGACCAAGGAGTCCCAGATTCAATTCCAGCCAAGAGCATATACCTCAGTTACAGTTTGTTCCCAGCCCTGGTTGGGGTCTTGTGGGAGGCAACCAGTAAATAAATGTGTCTCTCTCACATCAATGTTTTTTTCTCTCTCTCTTCCTTCCTTCCTCCATCCCACTCTATCTGAAGATAAATGGAGAAATATCCTCGGGTGAGGATTAAAAAAATTTTTAAAAATTATATAAAGTATATAAAAATATACAGAATGTTATTTTTATTGATTTTAGAGAGGGAGGAAGAGAGAGAGAGAGAGAAAGAGAGAGAGAGAGAGAGAGAGAAACATTGATGTGAGATACACTGATCAGTCGCCTTCTGAACACACCCTGACCAGGGCTGGGGATCAAAGCTGCAACCCAGGTATGTGACCTTGACCACGAATTGAACCCATGACCCCTTGGTGCATGGGCCAGTGCTTCAACCACTGAACCACACTGGCCAGGACCCAACTCATTTTATTTTTATTTTTTTAAATTTATTTTTGTTACAGATGTTTCTCCTTTTCCCCTCATTGACACCCTCCTCCCCATCCCTCCCCGCCCCATCCCCAGCTTTGTTGTCCATGTCCATTGGTTATGCGTACATGCATATAAGTTCTGTGGTTTATCTCTTCCCATACCCATCCACTCTTCTGAGGACTGTCAGTCTATATCCTACTTCCACGTCTCTGGGACTACCCTGTTCCTCGGATTGTTATGTTCATTATATTCCACAAATAAGTGAGATCGTGTGATATGTGTCTTTCTCTGCTTGGCTTATTTTGCTTAGGATAATACTTTCCAGGTCCCTCCAGGTCGTCTCAAAGGATAAGAGATCTTTCTTTCTTTCAGCTGCACAGTATTCCATTGTGTATATGTACCACAACTTTTTTATCCATTCGTCTACTGATGGATACTTGGGCTGTTTCCAGATCATAGCTATTGTAAATAGTGCTGCTATGAACATGGGGGTACATATATTCTTTCTGATTGGTGTTTCAGGCTTCTTAGGGTATATTCCTAGAAGTGGAATCACTGGGTCAAAAGGCAATTCAATTTTTAATTTTTTGAGGTAACACCATAGTGTTTTCCATAGTGGTTGCACCAGTCTGCATTCCCAACAGCAGTGCACTAGAGTCCCCTTTTCTCCGCACCCTCACCAACACTTGTTGTTTGATACTTTGTTGATGGCGGCCATTCTGACAGGTGTGAGGTGATACCTCATTGTTGTTTTAATTTGCATCTCTCTGATGATTAATGATGTTGAGCATTTCTTCATATGTGTCTTGGCCATTTGTATGTCCTCTTTGGAGAGGTGTCTATTTAGCTCCTCTGCCCGTTTTATAATTAGGTGTTTCATCTTCTTTTTGTTGAGTTGTATGAGCATTCTATATATTTTGGAAATTAACCCCTTATCTGATGTGTCATTGACGCTCTCAAAAACAGTGGGTTGCCTTTCCATTTTGATGCTTCTTTCTTTTGCTGTACAGAAGTTTTGAGTTTGATGTAGTCCCATGTGTTCATTTTTTTCTTTGCTTCTCTTGTCTTAGGTTATGTATCAGTGAAAATTCTGCTGCATATGATGTCTGAAATTTTGTTGTCTACATTTTCCTCTAGGATTTTTTTTTTTTTTTTTTTTATCCTCACCCGAGGACATTTTTCCATTTTTTGTTCAGGTAGAGTGGGAGGGAGAGAGAGGAACAGAGAGAGAGAGAGAGAGAAACATCGATGCGAAAGGAACACATCGAGTGGCTGCCACCCGCACAACCGACCAG